AAGAAGACACACACACACACACACACACACACACAGACACACACACATCCATACACACACACACACACACACACGTGTGGACTGTGTTTTAAATCAGTGTCTTCGTTTCAGTTTGTCGTGGAGAACTTTGAAGTGAAAACACGTCTGACAGAATCGCAGCAGCAGGTGAGAGACAAACCTCTTCCTCTTTGTGTAAATCAGCCGTTACACTTTACTTATGTTTATTTTCTGTGTTTGTATAAAAAATGTACATTTAGATTTTTACTTCCTGATTCTTGTTCTGAATTCTAAAAGTCAGATCAAAGCTGCTGTAACAAGTTTCTCTGTTTTAATGTTGGTGACAATGTTGAACATTGATAATTAAGGATTCTGATTCACTCCGAGCCGACCAATCACAGGCCACGTCGTCCTCATGTGACGTCTCTGACGCTGCGGTTCGGTTTGATGTAGTTGTTCTGTGATGAGTCGTCAAAGCTCCGCCTCTTTATTCATATTTATCACGTCAAACAGGAAAACAGCCAAGAAAGTCTTTAAGTGTCATCGCTCCGGCGACACCCAGTGGTCGGAGGCTTCATGTTTTTTCCCGGTTGTGAATTAATTTTCCTGATTATTCCGACGATGAACATTTATGATTCGAGTCTGTGTTTTAAAATCAAATCCCTGTTTTCCAGCCGGTCACAGAGAAGGTGTCGGACAGGAGCAGCAGGAGGAGGAGGGACGGCGTGCAGCCGCCAGAACCAGTGAGTGGAACCCACAGGAAACACTCGAACCTCTGACTGAACGTCCTCCATGTGGTTTTAAATATTCTCAGATGTGACGATTCGTCTGAGGAGAAGATTCAACTTTTAAATCTTAAATGTTGGTTTTGTTCTCCGGCGCTGCTCAGAGGTTTGTCATCGTCTCTGAAAACAATCAGACGTCTCGTGAAACTCAAACAGGTTCGACGAGCGGATCCTCGTTCAGACTCGAGTCGTCACATGAACTTTGTTTTTATTTCTTATCAGAATGTTTATTTAGATCAAAGTTTGACTTCTTATTATTTAAAGTTAGTGTCACTCAGCTGATTTCACTGCTCTCTCTCTCTCTGTCTCTCCCTCTCTCTCTCCCTCTTTCTCTCTCTCTCTCTGTCTCTCTCTGTCTCTCTCTCTCTTTGTCTGTCTCTCTCTCTTTCTGTCTCTCCGTCTCTCTCTCCCACTCCCTCTCTTTCACTCTCTCTTTCTCCCTCTCTCTCTCTGTCTCTCTCTTTGTCTCTCTGTCTGTGTGTGTGGTTCACCTCGATTAATCGAAACAGT